TGATATGGACATGACAGGAATAGGGGCAGATGACAGAGTTCTTTCTGAGAACACTGCCCCACCCTCTTCAGCTGCACATGCAATGCCAGAGGTGCAAGTTTTTACTGAAGAGGACATGGAATTGGAGGCAGATTTTGATGATGTGTATTGTGATGGGGATGGGACATCAGGTTCGGATTCTGAAAATGATGATGACCTAACATCACTTTCCGATAACATTTCCGATAACATTGCCAACTGGGCAGTGAGTTTTGGCATTTCCCTCGTTGCCCTGACTGCACTGTTGAGTATACTCCATATAACCCATCCCAATCTGCCAAAGGATGGTAGGACCCTTCTCAAGACAAAAAAGCATTATGCTATTCAGGAGAAGGCTGGGGGCAACTACCATCACTTTGGCATCCTTTCCTCCTTGAAGGACACTATAAGCAAATATGCAAAAACACTGGCAGAGGGCATGACATTGGGGCTGCAGATTAATATAGATGGTCTACCTTTATTTAAAAGTTCCACTGTACAGCTGTGGCCCATCCTTGGCTTACTGGTTACCTTCCCCATAAAGGAACCTGTTGTCATTGGGGCCTACTGTGGACCAAAAAAACCTAGTTCGGCCACAGAGTTCCTATCTGATTTTGTCAATGAACTACAGGAACTAGAGGCTGGGTTTTGCTTTGGAGATAAGAACCTTAAAATTAAGCTTCACACGGTAATCTGTGATGCCCCAGCACGGGCCTTTGTGAAAAAAAACATAGGCCCATAATGCTTACCATGGGTGCGATAAGTGCCTGCACCCAGGGCAATACCAGAACCGGCGTATGACGTTCCCTGGATCAGAGCACCCCCAGAGAACTGACATCTCATTCAACCTGATGGTTGATGAACTACACCACCACGAGGGGCCACATCCATTTAAAAATGTGAAGGTTGGCATGGTATCGCAGTTTCCCTTGGATTATATGCATCTAGTGTGTTTGGGCATCGTAAGGAAACTGCTCCAGACCTGGCTCCGGGGTCCGTTAACAGTAAGACTGCCAGCATTAATAGTAGACAGGATGTCAGGCAAACTCCAGTCAATGAGCCTCTACGTGCCAATTGAGTTTGCCAGGAGACCACGGTCGCTTAGGGAGTTGGACCGTTGGAAGGCGACTGAATTCCGACAGTTCTTACTGTACACTGGCCCTGTGGTGCTGGCGGGATTCCTGGACCGGAACATGTACTACAATTTCATGCTTCTGTCAACTGCTATATCCATTTTGGTAAGCCCTGAACATCTCAACCTTGCTGACTATGCTGGACAAATGCTAAAATCTTTTGTAAACCGTTTTGGTGAGCTGTATGGGACAGACCAGATTCTATCTCCATTCTATACCTATACCTACAGTCTTCATTCTATACCTACCCCTTCAACTCCGACAGAATGAACATATTTGTTGTAAATGATGCATCTGACGAGCTGAAGTCGGTTGAGGTGTCAGCGCTGCGGCAGAAACGTGTAGCCTTGCCATACAGGGATGGTTTCGTGGCCATACCCCTCCTCCACTAAAAAAAAAAAAAAAAAAAAAAAAAAAGCACAAATCAGTTCAATCAATCAATCAATCAATCAATCAATCAATCAATCAATCAATCAATCAATCAGTTTAAACAATCAGTTCAAGTTAAAAACTCTAATAATAGAGTTGACTACTGACTTCTGACTATGACTTCCATTACTCTGGATGACAATTTGCTGTAAGTATTTCACAAAGTTGGTATTTTTCCATACACTACACCCATAATTTCACGTTTTGAAATATGAGATGACATATTATCCCTCAAAATGCCAGGGGAAATGATATTTTATGCTGAATTTAACATGCAATTTAAAACATGTCCCACCTTTTCTCAATACCATGGACTGTACATAGTCCACTAAATTATTAGCATTATGCAATGATTTTTTTGAGATTATGAAACAACACCCCAACACATTCTGTCAAAAAATTGCAATAGTACCCTGCTTTACGGTTGTGCTAAAGTTCCACCTAACTATTATGACCTGTACATTTTCCTTCCTTATATTTCTTCCCACCTTGGGGCACCATTCAAGTTAACTTTCAGCCCATCTTGCTTGCTTATTTGTATACACTGTACACTTGTGCATGCTTTAGTCCATGTTATTCCTTTTTTGATGATTAATAAATACACCTTTTCTTTCTTTCTGCATTAAGGATGCCTTTTCATCTAATTGAGTTTCAAGCGAGCAAGGACATTGCTGTTGTGCCAATTGACTGGTATGATGACGGGATGGTGTACTGGCCCAGCTTTAAGAGCACCGAACGTGTGAAAAGGGCAGCTGCTAACGAGGAGAAGCATGAGCCAAACTGGCCAAGATATGATGTAAAGGTCGTCAGAACTTGTGGTATGCCAATTCATAAAATTCTTGTTAAAAAATGATTTCATGGTTGCTTCTCCTTCTACTTGAAATAACGTATTATTTGTATGTTCTGAAAATGCACATGAAATTGTCTTTGCCTTGCATTGTTTAAAATATTCCATTTATATCTACTGATGCTATTCTTGGCCAGGTCTCTCTTGTATTTTGTGTTCTCAATGAGACTAACCTGGTTAAATAAAGATGATAATAATAATAATAATAATTATAATCATCATCATCAATAGTAATAATATTCTGTGCAGCTCTACAGCTAATTTGAAACTCATGTTCATTTTAACATATTCAATTTTAGACAACTACAAAGACGCCATTAGGCTTGTGAATCAATATCAGAATGGCTGCAACACCTCTGAGCTACAGTCTGATGCAGAGCAGGAGGGTGAGCTGCCAGAGAAAAGATTCAGGAAGCCAGTGTAAGTGTGTTCTGTCTTGTTTTTGTTATGTTTCTACAGTAATAGGAAGTTATTTCCCATAGCATTCAAAAATAGACCAGAGATGCTTGTACTATATGTATATTTGACAATTTTGGGATTGCAATAACCATAATGGTTACTTAACAGCCATCGTTTTGGGGACTCTGATGAGAGTGAAGAAGAGGAGCCAGAAAATGGTGACTTTGTATCTCTGAGGATGCCACAAGCTTCAAACTTGCCTGGTATATGCTAGATTCTTTGGCAATAAAGTCTCTAACCTGAGAGCTCAGTTTCAAGTCTCGAAACAGGAAACACCAACAGAGATGAGTTCACCTACCCTCTGGACTTCATTCAATCCTGTCTCTTTACATAACATAAAGGAAATAATGTTTAAACTTAAACCTTCCTTTTGTAAGTATGACACCTTACATCCTCGCTATCTGCGAAAATTATTTGATACTGTCGGCCCAGGGTTGAGATCACTATTTAACAAATCTTTGCATGAAGGAGCTATACCCTCGAGTTTGAAAATTTCCTCAATTACACCGGTACTAAAGAAACCCTCAATTGATGCCTCTAACTTATCTAACTATCGTCCTATATCCATTGTGCCGTTTATTTTAAAGGTATTAGAGAAAATTGTATTCTTACAGCTTCAGACTTTCTTAAACGACAATCGTATCTTTGAGAAGTTTCAGTCGGGGTTTAAATCACTGCATAGTACAGAAACTGCCCTTACAAAAGTTCTCAATGATATTTATATGACTACAGATTCGGGAGAATCCGTCATTTTAGTTATGTTAGATTTGTCTTCTGCTTTTGATACCGTTGACCACACGATTCTCATTTCTCGACTTGAGTCTTATGTTGGACTAGGGGGCGTGGTCCTGAGCTGGTTCAAATATTTTTTAACTGATAGACGTTTCTCTGTAAATATTGGACGTTTCTCTTCTTCACTCCAAAATCTATCTTGCCTCAGGGTTCTATTTTAGCTCCTGTTTTATTCTCACTATATCTTCTTCCTCTGGGCTCTATTTTTAGGAAACACAATATCTCATTTCACTTTTATGCTGATGACATGCAGATGTATATGCCTTTGTCTAAGAAAAATAAGAGTGCTATTGACAGTATCACAACATGTTTTGAGGAGGTAAAAGAGTGGCTAGCTGGAAATTTCCTGTTTTTGAACTCAGACAAAACAGAAGTTATTGTTTTTAACCCCTCAGAAACTAGGCAAATCTACGATTTTGACCTGGGATCTATATATTCATCTATTGCTCCCCAGGTACGGAACTTAGGTGTGATCTTAGATAGCTCTCTTAAATTCGATAAACAAATTAGTGCTGTCATCAGATCTAGTTTTTTCTATCTTCGCCCTATAGCGAAAATTAAATCTTATCTCCCTAAACGTTCGTTGAAGATTGCGATCCATGCTCTTATCAACTCGCACGTGGACTATTGTAACCTTCTTTATTTCGGTGTATCAAAGTCCCAAACGGCCAGCCAACAGATTGTCCAAAACGCGACGGCGAGATTCCTTATGGGAAAAAGGAAATTTGACCATGCCACCCCCCTGCTGAGATCCCTTCACTGGCTACCGATACATTTTAAAATTGAATATAAAATTTTAATACTGGTGTATAAATCTTTAAATGATTTAGCACCCTCTTATCTATCTGATTTACTTCACTTCTACTCTCCCACTAGAAGTCTTCGATCTGAAACGAAACTTCTTCTTCAGATACCTAAAACCCGGCTAAAATCAAGGGGAGACCGAGCTTTTGAGGTGGCTGGTCCCACACTCTGGAACAAGCTCCCACTTTATATTAGAACAACTTCCTCTCTGTCTGAGTTCAAGTCCTGTCTTAAAACCTATCTATTTTCGGTTGCTTTTAGCTTAGAATGATCATGCTGTTCTGAACTGCTTGTCATTATTTATGTCTCTAAATTGCATTAGTTTCTTTCTCTATGTGTACAGCACTTTGGTCGGCCAGTGGCCGTGTTTAAATGTGCTTTATAAATAAATAAACTGAAACTGGTATATCAGTCGAAGCCTCAAGCCCAAGCCAATTGCACAGGCAGAGTAAGGAATAATCTCTTAACATCGAAATAAATACAATAATTAATATTAGAGATATGGTTAACATTTTTAGTGCTAAAGATATTCCCCTCTCCTTGTATCCATTCTTTCAACTCCTCCATCTCGCCGAGTGCCAGGCAGCAGAGTAACAACTACTCAATCTGGAGAAAACTGTCTAGGTAAACACTGTTCTCCAAAATAATATTGAATACAGTGGCCCCATCTATATTAACACAGCAATGGTCACTCTGTTTCAAATCAATAGATTGCATCTGCATAACCATCTCAGATTTTCAATGTCAATCCATTCATGGGATTGAAATAGGTAGTGTATACCAAAATGTTGAAACATACAAATTCATGTTCAGCATGACCAGAGATTTTTTTGTTTGCCATTGTTTGGCCTTGTAGCTTGCATGCCTCGCAGCCTACCATGGTTAACAGATCACAACCATTTAATACCAATTTCTCTCCTTTAGCACCTGACCATGGGGCAGGACAGCAACACCACTGTTCACCACCTCAACTCCCTGCACCTGCATTTAACATGCGGAGAGTTACTCAAGGTAGGGACTGATTTCTGAAATATTAGTGAATAGAAAGGCCCCATGTGTATTATCAGTCATGGTTAACAGATGACTACCATTTAATTAAAAAATGTCCCCCTCTCACACCGCCCACCTCACTATGGGGCAGGAACGGCAGTCCCTCCACAACTCCCTCCACCCCCCGCACCAGCCCTCAACATGCAGCGAACAGAGGAAGCCTGTTCAAGCCTGAACTACAGACCAACATGGCGAGGGGGAAGAATGACCGATACCATTCCCTGCTCTGGTGAGCAATAACTGACAAATACTGGAGGGTCATTCTGTGCCACAGATTTTGGAAAAAAAATCCCACAACCATCACATATTTTCTTCAAACTTTGTCAATAACTTTTGTCATTAACTAATGTCAATAACTTATGTCAGTATTATGAGTAATGAGGATAAACACTGAAACGTGATATATTTTATACACTACATTTTAGCTATATTTCATGTTTGTCAACAGCGGCTGAGGTCCACATCCTTAGCCTGCTGGAAACTATTAAACACCATCAAGACCAGCTTGTGGCGAAGGTGAACTACCTCAGCAACAGGCTGAACAGCACCCCGGGGCCAGATGTCGAGATGCCTGACAATATCCAGTTTCCCCTGGAACAATGGGCTCCTTGCACGTAACTACTTCCTTACCGGAAATGCGGCCTCGTCTTTTCCGGCGCTATTCTACACTATGAGATGCGGTGTTTACAAGAGTTGCCGAAACTTACAATAACGGACGTATATCGCCTTTGTAAGTCCTCCTCCAAATCACCTACCAGCAAATTAGAGAGAATGGCTTTAAAATGTATGCCTCTTCATATATCCACGGATATGAAGGTAAGTCTATATATCTCAAACTTTATGGCTTCCGTTAGTTTGCTAGCTTACATTAGGCTAATAAACAACCCCGGGCTGACAGAATATGCGTGTTATAATGCTGTACTGTTTTCTAGTATTAGGCGGAAAATGTCTACGTTGTGTATGTACGCCTTCAGACAGGAAGAGAGCGAGCCGTATTTACCCGTTGCGGATATGACGTCAGGTTGCTATGTGCAAGGAGCCTATTGGAGGCAGTGGAGGCATTTGAACTGTTTTTAAAGGAACCGTCAAATGGCCCAGCTCGACAGAGAGTGGTGAGTTTTCTTATTTAATATGAATGTTGCCATTAGGTTTATTGATTGTCCATGATTATTGCAAATATTCTATTGAAGCAGTGGTAAGATTCTGTCAGTGAGCGACAATCTCCCTGGTTTGACATTGTGTGTAAAGGTGGCACATGTCCATGAGGGTGTTATCCAAGTACATGTTTCACGAGTTCACACTAACATACAATTAGAGGGGGTAAAATTTTATGTGTATTTGGCGTGCTGTCCGTGGGGAGGGCTCTGAGCTCGGAGTTTGGCCCGAACCCAGAGTACTCCCCCTGTATGTAAATGGTCAGGACTAACGGTTAGGTTAAGTGTGGAGAAGGGGTGGTGGAGGGGTGCTGCTAAACTGTCAATGGATTGAGGTGAGACTGCTGAATCTATATATACCTCTTATCATTGATTGTTGAGTGCTCTCCACTCGTGTTAATTATCTGAACATGCTCCTCCCGATAAAACATCATTTAGAAGAAAAAAAAAAATCCAAGAGGAGGATTTTTTTTTACTTTACAGAAATCTTTTTCTACATTTCTGAACATAAACATTTTAAATGCACCTTTGAATTCAACTTGAGCTTAGAAATGTTTACCTTGCTGTCTATTTAAAAAAGATGTCTTTGCCTTTTAGATTTCTTCTTTGGCCACCATTGGAGGCCAGGATGTGAAGAGGGTGACCTGGAACATCCTGGGCAGGCTCTTCACAGATGAGGTGTCTCGTCAAATTAACTGGAAGGGAGTAAATAACAAAAAGTCCTTCAGTAGGATGGCAACAAAGACCTTGCTTTTCAGTAAGTATATAATTCAAAGTAATATGAAATACGTTCAAAGTCAGCAGTTTGTAAATGTTAGGGCAACCATCTTACCAATGTGACCGTGTAGCCTTTTTTTTAGACTGGCTACTATACCATAGACTTTTTTGACGTTTGATGTCCTTTTTTGGTAACACTTTATAATAATTGAAAACTGTTACTTACCTGTTACAAACGATATGTACGTGTATACAAGGCATTTACAACACTTTCTGCACCCTCTAATTGCTGCATACTTACAAAAAACATTATTTATTAAAAATTGATGAAACGGATTTTCATGTTTTTGTAAATGATTAGTTAATCATTAATTAACATATCACTTATTAATAATTTATTAATGCATAGTCATGTTTCATAAATAATTAGTTAATCATTTACTAATCATTTGTAAATGACTTGTAACGGAATTTACTTTAACATACTAAATTTATGTTTACGGAATTTACTAAACATTGAATGTGCTCCTACAGTAGTCACATTCAAATCCAGACTCAAAACACATCTGTTTAGCTATGCATTTACTGAATGAGCACTGTGCCACTGCTCGTCCGACTGTTTTTACTGTACTTTATTTTATTTTTTATTCTAAACTGTTTTAATTATTCTTATTTGTTTTGATTATTTTAATTTCTTTATTCTAACTTGTTTTAATTATTGTTATTTCTATTGATTTTTTTTTTTACATTTCTTCTATGTAAAGCACTTTGAATTACCATTGTGTATGAAATGTGCTATATAAATAAACTTGCAAAAAAAAATAAAAATACTTAATATGTTTGTATATCACTTGTTAATCATTTATGAATGTTTTGTAAATGATTCGTTCATCATAAATGTTATAAATATGTTATAAGTTATAAATGACTTACAACTGAACGTTATTATAAAGTGTTACCCTTTTTGGTAATTCAAAATCAAACATAGTATGACCATGACTCCCTGAGCAGACGATGGCAACTTTGTGTAGCAGGATGCAGTTGTCTGGCTCATACCTCCCTAAGTGATGCTTAATTTGCTGCAGCTGTGAGTGGTCCTGGGCAGTTAACTTTGAGCCAATCGTGAGGGCTACACCCCTTTTATAAACCGGGACTTTTATTTTGACAAATGGTGTCACCGGTACGCGACTTGTCTTGTTTACCTGCCCAGCGACCTCATGTCTGCCTGGTTATCGGTCTACCGTAGCGCTGCAAGTATGGTTGGCTTCGTTTCTCTTTTCACTCGTTAACTTTATAGCTTCGGCTTATGGGGAATGTTTTGTGCTATAGAATCCCCGGTGTGACAGCAGCCCTTTCACCAGCTGAGTGTGTGCCCTGCGATCAGCAATCAGAGCTAAGGGCCTGTGATAATCATAGGTATGTTGCTATACTGAGTAAAAGTTGAATGGTTAATGTGGGAACTATTTGTAAATTGACATCCTGTGCATTCTAGGGAGTGCTATTTAACCGGGGGTGCGGCCGCAAGTTGGCTACATCGACGCTGAACATCTGCTGCTTTGCTTAAACCTATTTCCTGTTATGTGTTGCCTACGGGCTTTCTTCGTCGTTTTCGGCTGCTCCGTCCCACGAGATCGATGAGTGTGGGACCCGGGGCTAGTCCAAGTTAGCGAGTGGCTGACCTGTTCCACCGTTGCTTGCCTTACTTGGTTGGATTTCTCATCTCTCCTTTTGTTGTGAATATCTGAGTAATGTTGTAGAACGTGTTTGATGTATTGGCATCACTTCTTTTTGTTTGTTTTGTTCTTTTTATAGGTTAAAGTTGTTTGTGTGTTTATTTTATTTACGCTGTTGTCTGGAGGCCTTTCCCCCTCTGCTGATGTCCAAGGGGATTGGCCCATTTGTTATGATTGTTTTTGTTTGATTCTGTTTTTGTTTTCTTGAGTTGTCCACACTGACGGGAGACCGTGGAAGTTGCTGATCCTCAGTGTGGCATTTTTCCCTTCATTTATTAGTTGGTACGGTTTATTGTCGTATGTTTGTTTATGTGAGGGTTAGTATTTATTCATATTGTAGGTTTGTGTAATCCCTCTGGGTGGTCTACTGGACCCGTTCATTGTGATCTGTGTGTATGCAATTGTGTAACTCTCATGTGTCTTCCTTTTGTCTAGGTGCTGAGAGCGGCCAGTGGGAACAGTGCCCATGCGGTGGTGGGTCCCTTGATGTATGCAGTGGTTGTGTGTTCACCAGTGTGGTTAAATTCCTTGAGGTGGGTGTGAACCCGGCACGTGTGATTGGGGTGTCTCCCATGGATGCTCATTGCTGGAGTTACTAGTCTCCCACTGGCGAGCTTCAGCACGACCCTTTGTGTGTGTGTGTGTGTGTGTATAGGAGTGAAGTTGGTGCGTGTCTTATTGCTTGATTTAGTGTGCAGTGTTTTTCTTTCTGTTTGCTGTGAAACCTTCCCTTGTGGGTGTTGGGAAATCCAAGTGTTTTTTTATTGTGGAGCGAACGATTGTGTGTGTATTGATGTAAAAAATAAACTCTATTTTTGTATTGGACCACTGTCTCTGGCTAATCAATCACGAACTTGAGTGCCTTGTTAGAATAAACAAAATGGCTAATTCTTTGGGTGCAAGTCCCATCGTGGCGTAGTCTGCTAACTGTCTGTTATCTATATATCCATTATGCCACATTTGCATACGCAAATTTTCAATCAGTTAGGCCTATGTCTGATGTTATGTTTAAAACAATGCAATAGTTAGTGCTTCAGTGAAAACCTGACACGGTCACTTATTTAGTAGGGAAAATAGGCTACTAAAAATCTTCCTGTTAACTATCAGGGAATGCAATAATGATAATAATAAAAAGCCTACCTTTCTGACATGCAGTAAATCTTCAAAATTGCTGTGGGATCCCCTCTGCTGTGAGACTCCCTCCTTTTGATTCCTTCAGTTTGTTGCTGGCACTGTAAACGGTGTTGACCATAGGTGCACTTCTAGAAAGTGGAGATGCCAACTTCCGGCACAATCTTGGGCGAAACAGTGGTGTACCTGCACTTGTGCGTAAACTCAACTACGGTCGAAGTTTAGGGATTGGAATCACAGTGGATTGTCATGTCAAGAGAAACGCACCCCAGGTGTGGGCAACAGGACCATCATGTTATCAAAGTAAATGCACGCAAACGTATTGGCTGCTGGTGGTTGCGATAGTTTTGCTCGTGTACATTTGTCTTCGATCTCCATAATAATAATAATACACACTGATGGAATGCAGTTTTGTGTGGGTTGTAAATTACCATGCGAGTAATTTTAACCACCACAACCCTGTTTATAACTTTGTAAGTCATGTTTCTTTTTAAATTTAATCTCATTAATACCCATCTCATATATTGTATTGTGTAAGCATACTTGGCTTTGGATGCTACATACCATAAACATATCTGTCTGTTTGATTACAGGTGCTGTGAGAAAAAACTCGGTGACACGGTCAGCCACAGATGCGGAAGTCACCAAGCATGCAATCAGGTGGTTCAACCTGTCGACAGATCGGACAACAAGGAGATCTCACGCAAGGGGTATTTTACCATTTACCCCTTTCCAGTTTATGATTTTGGCTAACTCATTGGAAATTGTTCGCCGCATTATTCGCCACACAGTGTCCTTTTACGTCGAACCCTCCAACCAGCCCTAGGTTATTAATCTAAGGGAAACACATGCTTCTTATCAAT